GAGTTGTTGTATGACGAACTTAAACCATATATCACAGCGGTACGTTTCTGCATATATGCGCATATATTCATTGATTGGCACCAAACTAATGATTACAAATAACCAGATTAACAGTGCCATGAGCTCACAACGATCCGACGACTTCGCATCCCTCAAACATCCAATGCTCGAGTATATTTTGACGAACCGTAACAGCGATACCCTGCAGCCTCCCATACCAAAGTCATCCTGTAAGTCCAACCGAGGCACCAATCATCCACGATTGGCGCGTGAGCTCTGCCCTCGGAAGTGGCTGGACAAATTTGATATTGATGTCGACTTGTAAGTTTTTGTTTTTATTTCAAGTTCTGGTCACTGACTGTGATATACTCAGAGGAATTCAGCGTCTTCAAGATGGGACTTGGCCTTTACTCTCAACTAATTGGCCGTCATTCCTATATGCAGCTGATGCCATCTACGACAGCGAGGACCCGAACATTGGCCTCTTTCGCGGGCATGCCGGTATCAGGGTATGTAGTGTATTGTCACCTTTCATGTGCTCACAATTATCCTAGGCATTCCAGCACTTGTACCTAGGTCCTGCTGCTGCAGGATCAGAGGAACATAACGACGACGACAGCAAGCACGGTAGAAGCAAGTCCAAGGCTACCATGTATGGGCTTACAAAGGTGACGCCACAAGCATGGGCTTGGGCCATGTGTGCAGTGCGTGTCTGCTTTTATGTTTGACTAGTGTACTGATTTTCGTACAGGCGTGGTTTTCGCTCTCGGCCTGCAACTCGTACAAAGTGTGCATCGGGTCATTCAACCTAGAAGATTTCTTTTTCGCTATCCTCAAAACTCTCGATGATCCCGAGGACCCATGGGCAGTAGAGACAATGGCATGGATTAATGAGTATGTGTCTAGGCTAATATCAACGTCTACTAACACAGATTACAGACAGGTTTTCGGGAAACATGCAGCCAAGGCCATGACGGCTGCCGCAGATGACACTGATTCTGACCTTGCGAAAATGCGAGCAAAGCGTGCTGCTCGTAAACAAGGTAACACTACTTCGACATCAGCAACAAACAACGTTGTGCGCAGTACCACTACTTCTCCACCCTCAGTATCAGCAGCAGAACGCCCATCATCACCTGCACCACCACTATCTCCACCCAGACTCCCTCCACAGGTTACACCTTCCACATCATCACCACCACGCGCCTTGACACCACTATCTGACTCAGAATCATTCCCACCCTCCCCGGCAAAACAGCCACCTGCTATACCCACAGCCATTCTTCCCAAGCCAGTGCCTGTTGCACACAAAAAGGCCAAGCCTGTGCCCAGACCAAAGGCCAAACCAGCACCCAAGCCACGATCCAACACTCGCGGTTCTGCGCGTCTCTCTGCTGGTGCTATTCAGGTTGAAGAACCCACTAACGAGGCGGGTGATACTGGTATTCCGGATGTGAATGCTCCCGCGCCTCCAAAGAAAAAGCCTGTGCCCCGTCGTGGTAAAAAGGCTGCCTAGGTATTTTGAATCCTGGCTGGTTTGCATATTCTGACTCTTGCTTTAATCACACAGGTTTGAACGCAGTCGCTTGTTGCATTCCACTTGGTCATCTCGCGCCCATCATGCTGTACATCATACTCGCACTCACAATTGCTCCCACACTTACAATATTTCGTTTCTCGCACCATCATTTTGCTCTCGTCGGACCCTTGCTCCTGCTTTCGGACGGCGTCGGACTCGCATAGACACCTGTGTAGTTTTACTACTTGCACTGCTTTGTATTGTATGATCATGAAATTCACTGGATTCCGTTTATTGCATTGCAGTGTGCTATCTGTCTGGTACGAGTCATGTAAGCTATGAACAGCCTGCTTGGAACTGGCAAGGCTGGATCAACATTGCAAGGCATCTCAAGACTTTTTAAAATACACGATTCTGATGGCTTTTGACCAGCCTGGTGCCCATCTGGCACGACGGAGAGGTTGTCTGCAAGCCGTGTTCAGTCTTGGCGAAGTTCGTCAGACTGGGGGTATCTTGCCATGCCTGGGAAGGTCTTACCGGGCTGCGCCACTTTTGCTGATGTGTTTCAAAACCGTCTATCGGTGGCAATTGCATCACATGAGCAACACGGTCACGGGAGTTGTACTGAAATAGGAAATTGAATTCCTGGCAGGACGTGTTGCTAACCTTGTCCGAGGATGACGTGGATAGGTGGCCACCTCAAGGAACCATGATCGAGTCGACGTCCGTGCACGCGTGATTCCCAGTACATTGCATCTCTTCCTCATCGAAGCCCAGAAGTCTTCGCCCCAAATGCCATCAGTATATTCCCATCACCTTCAAGGCTTCCCTACACGATCTGCTGGCCTGTTCATCCGGTGCCAATGATTAGTAGTGAGTATTTCTCTTCCACAGTACTTGATATTCGAGCTCGGCAGTGGCTGAATCTGGCAGCGATCACGTCCTTCACCGAATAAGCATACATTTGGTTGCATCCTAGTTGACATTCTTTTCTAATTCCTCTGTCCACACAAGATCATTTTCTCACCCGCTATGAGCTCAATCGAACGAGTCGTATACAATCATTCGGTTCTTAGCGTGCCGTCTTCAGTGGTTTTAACATTGTTCGCATTACCAATACAAAATATGTTCGATTCTACATCTGGGTATGATACAAGTCCAATTACTCTGAGACTCGCTCCACCTCGGCTGGCCTCTTTCGCTGAAAACTGCTCATGACATTGTATACTCTAGATTCTTCCGCTAATACTGGTAATCTCCATTCCCGGGCAGCGCTTAGTGCGGTTATACCAGCGTCTGTGTCGTGCCGGACAGCCCTTGGCAATATGGAAATACACGTGTAGCATGACCCGAACCCTGAACCTCCTTCTCAGCTGAACGAGCTCACGCCCGTTGTGCCTTCGGCACAAATCAAAGGAGCGCTACGCGCTCCTTCAGGGGAGAAAAATGAGTGTTGTTCCTTCGTCACAGGAAGCCAAGGAGGGCTACGCCCTCCTTTGGCTTCCTGGCCTCAGGCTGCATCCTAATAAATTGTGCATTTTGAATGATTTTGAAATATATTTATGAGCAGCTTTTCAAAAAAACTCAAAGTACAATCTATCACACCACATAAAAGTACATAGTACTACATACAATCAGTCAGTGCTATGTTCTTTGAGCAGGATTTTGACCAATATAAAAATACAAAATATGTAACAGTATCATTGAATGTATTTGTTTTCCCATTTTTCCCTGCTTCCCATCTAGGGATCAGCAGGGGTATGGGAAACCCTTGAGGGTAGGGGTAGGGGTTTGGATCTGAAGACCCCTGTACCCCTGGGAATATACCTCCAAATTGATTACCATAGGAGTGATGGATCAGTATAAAATTTTGAAGTTGTACATGTGCCTTCAAATGGTAATATATGTGATTGGAAAAAATGTTACCATGGGGTATACCCATGCTAATCCCTACTCCCTACTCCCTACTCCCTACTTCCTACTCCTGTCTCCTGTCTCCTGTCTCCCGTCTCCTGTCTCCCATCTCCCATCTTCTGTCTCCTGTCTCCTGTCTCCTGTCTCCCATCTCCCGTCTCCCGTCTCTGTTCTCTCAGTCTCCCATCTCCTGTCTCCTGTTCTCCCATTTCCCCATTTTCCTGTCATCACATTCTCTGGTTTTTGAGTCTACATTGTCTTTGTCTCCTTTTTTTATTTGAATCTTATCTCCTGTCACCACATTTGTTATCTCCCTGTATGTAATTGTATCATATGTTGTTCCATTTATGTACATATACAGTCACTACTAATAATTGCAGTAGGCAAAACACTCAAATCCTGTTGTCCCCCTGCTCAAACACATTATTTAATGCCATGTACACATACAGTTACCAATGTTGTTGCGCAACATTCCCAATGGGTGACGTTGTTTGAGTCGCCGCTCGAAATATACATGAAAACCACGCGAGTTTCCAAATAGAAGTTCAAGCGAGGTAAGCGAAAACCATGTGGCCTTAGGCGAATCTAAGCGTATCTAAGCGTATCTAAGCGTATCTAAACGAAAACCACATGGCGCTACGCGAAAACCACGCGAGCGCGCGAACGTTTCCGAAACCTTTCTCCCTTTCTTCTTAAGATTCTATCCACATACTATATCCTTACCCCCGTCCTACTTTCTTACTGATTCCGTCCACACCACTCAGCCCATCTTCGACCCTTATCAATTTGCTCCATCACACGATCATGCCTGGTAGCTCAGAAAGCCGATATATCAGACTTGAAGGCGAGTCCCTCCGAACTATCTTCGTATCCATTATCATCCTCACACAATATCTACAGTCATCAGCGGAAAGAACATCCAAGTTCCTTCAAACCGCGTTCCTGCTGGTATCTACATATCTATCAATGTCGACTCTAGGTGGCGCTGGAAATCAGCCATCAGTGTCTTATCATCCGATAGATCTGTAACGTGGGGGAATTCTGTCACTCTGTAAAGTCCATGGACACTGTCTGACGCGATGCGAGAACTGATCTTCGGTTCATAGATCATTGCACTCCTCACCTGCGTTGTCAGTGAATATCAGGGCGTCCTTTGAGCTTGGTCGAATGCTAGGCGGTGGAGAGCTCATCGGCGGACTTCAGATGTCATGGGATGAGCTACTCGATCATGGACATAAGCCATTTGGTGAGTGATTCGCTTCTCATTCATACACATACACTAACGTCCTGTAGATTTATCATTCCCACCCGTGCGCGGCGTTCACCCTTCCCTCAAGCTGAAGGCCGCCATTGTACATGCTTATGACGATCAGGATGATGCACTGTTTGATGTGAGTGACGCTGGTGTCTGTCCTGTTAGCTTTTGCTGATAGAATGCCAACTGTAGTCCCTCGTAGACTGCAATATTGTTCGAAACACAGATGCGGGCCACGCACAATTTGCCGCATACGTGACGAGCAAGGCAGCCTCTCACCTGCACAACGCTGTAAAGCATTTTCAGTTGGTTCTGTACCAGTGTCCGGTCGGCCATCCAGATCATGCAACAGCTCTCACCAACCTCACGTGCGCCCGCTTTCAATATTACATCCGAGATGATCTTGAAGAAGTCGATGCCACCATTTCCCACTTCCGCGACGCCCTTGCATTGCGTCCGCAGCCCCATCCCGATCATCCCTTCTCTCTATACAATCTCGCCCGAGTGCTGACTTGGCACCACTCCAAGAAAGGTACTGTTGCCGACATCCGCGAAGCCGCGCAACTCTATTGTGAACTACTGCCTCTCTGTCCAGACGGCAGCTACCTTCGTAGCATCGTGGCAGGGAATGATGTCATTTGTGTGATCGGCGGATCCAGCGAACTTTCAATGGACGCATCCGATGAAGCCGTCCACCATCGAAGAGTCGTCCTCGAGCTCTGTCCTCTGGGCCATCCATTCCGTTCGGGAGCCCTCGCCAGCCTTGGACGAGTAGTTAAAGCACGCTTTGATCAGCACGGCAGTATTGATGATCTTGACACAAGCATACAGCTTCACCGTGAAGCCGCGTCTCTTACCCGCAAGAGACGTGCTAAACGTGATATCTACCTGAATGACTTGACCTGTTCACTCCGTGCTGAACGTGATACCTACCTGAACGACTTGGCCTGTTCACTCGTGTCCCGCTTCGATCACCAAGGCAAACCTAACGACCTCCATGAGGCCATCTCTTTCCACGAAGAAGCACTGCGCCTGCACCGTGCTGGGCACAAATCTCGTGCTTTCTCATTAGACAACCTAGGGGGCGTCCTCGTCAAGCGTTTCAAGGAATGCGGCAACATTGATGACATCACCCGGGCTATCAGCCTCTATCGCGAGTCATTGACGTTGTGCTCACCTGGGCATCCACGTCGTGATACCAAGCTCAAAAACCTTGCCCTCGCGCTCAAAACCAGATATCGCAAATCACATATTAGACAGGATCTTAATGAGGCCATTGATTTGCATCGCGAATCCCTTTGGTTGACACCAGAGCGCCATAGACTCGTCAGGGAAAACCTCCTTCACGAAATCGAGGTAATTCCATGGAATTTCTGGGAATTCCAGGGAATTCCACTGAAATAAAAGTAAACAAGATTTTTCCACTGCGGTCGGAATTCCTTTGAATTCCTTTGAATTACTTATCGTGTCCTAATAGTAAGACTAAAGCTGCTTGATTACTTTGACCAAGTCTCGTCGTACATCCAGGCGACTCGAATTCTCGAATCATCATGTCGATGCGTTCTTGAGGAACAAACTAGCTATCCTGGTAGGGCATTAACGATACATCAATCAAAAACATATTCGACTGTCTGGACATTCAGACTTCATGAAATACTGTGCGAAGTATCACCAGAAGGAATATAATAGATTATTTGAGAGACGATGCTTACATCCCCGCGGTCTACGACTAACGCATTCCACTTGATCGTAAGATAAGCCACCGTCAGTGATGCATCGTGGCCTTCGGATGGTACTTACCAAAACTATATTGAATACTATCAGATGCTCTCCTGATAGTCCACAACCAGAGAACGGTCTGGAAGGCATGGCGTATTTTGAAGCGACACTCCTATGTAATTCACTCTCGTTTACCTTTACAACTTATAGAATATCCTGCTGAAAGGAACCCTGGGAACGGGGAAAAGAAGGTCGCTCATGCGATCTGCAACATGCTCAAGCGCCCGATGCTTGACGTTCGGGCGAATGACATCCCATACCTTGCCGCCAAACTAGATTGCATGAGATTTTGCAAAAAATGCATTAGCTTGTGAGACAACGATAGCAAAGTAACTCCCGCTCTTACCATAGTCTATTGGTCCTTGACCAGCTTGCTCCGTGCTTATCGCTCGTAAGCAGATTCAGCACAGTTCAAACCCTGAAATGTAATAAATTCCTGGACACCATGGTTGGTTTGAAGATCAGTAGAAACGTGCAACGTGCTTACGTGTTTTTCGGTGTCATATCCTGTAAACCAGGTCAAGCGGTTGACCGCGAGTGCCTCCATGTTTTCCAAAGGCAGCTTTGGAAGGTGAGCTGTGACAATCGTAGGTCGTCTAGGACAAAGACATTGATCAAAATGCCTCATTTTTGAATTGGCCCTCAGTGCTGAAACAGATGTAAGCATCGTGTCGGATGCATCCGAAAGCACCCGTGAACATTGCCGCGCATCAGTGAATTCATGAGTCCTTGATTTTGTAGCCGTGGGAAGTATAAGATGATATCATTATGCTACGGCTGAATATACCTATGTATACAGCAATAAATATTAGTTATCGGTACATAGCCATGAATCTCTGAAAATTCATTTTACCATGAGGAGTTCGCAACAAGATTACAACATTGCGCCGTTGCAGCAATCAATATGCAATAGCATGGTTAAGGACAGAAAATTTCGCGCAAGTTTCTTTCAACTTCGTTTCACTGCTACTACCACCACCCTCTCGAGCACGGTGAATCTCCTTGAGATTCCTCCCTTGTCCTTTGTGGTGGTCCCTCCCTGGCCCTTCATGGTGGTCCCTTCCTGGCCTTTTGGATTTCCTTGTGGTTCCCTGGTCCTTCGTGGTGGTTCCTCCCTGGCCTTTCCTCATGGTTCCTCCCTGGCCCTTCGTGGTGGTCCCTCCCTGGTCTTTCCTCGTGGTTCCTCCCTGTCCCTTCCTTGTGATTCCTTGCTGGCCCTCCCTCATGGTCCCATCCTGGCTCTTCCTTGTCACCATTCCCTTTCTGCTATCTTTCTTTTTTATTATATATCATGTAATTACATATGTATTCAAATATAAATAAAATTGATTTTTATTGAATTTTATCATCAAATGAGTGCTAAGAAACAATGAGTGGTGACAATCTGGTGTTTTAGGTAGTTCTGTTAAACTTACTCCAGGTAGTATCAATCTGACAGATACCATATAAATTTTATGTTAGATAAAGCTTTGCAAAGCTTTATATTGTCGGGTCGATTAGTTGATGCTTCGGAGTTGTGAACCTCCCTTTCGTTATGGCATTTCATAAAATTTTATACGAAAATCACGGAAGCGTCTTTCCTCTATAAGGCCAAACATAACAATGTGATTGTTGATAGCAAAATTACGCTACTTCTTGTGATTATGTACTATATATTGTTATTTATTGCTATGTACTTTCCTCACGAGTTCACTGATGAAGAAGTGGAAACACCAGTGACACTGTGAGGGTTTGGGAGAGTATGTCAAATGAAATAACGGAATGCAGTGGACGATATTACGAGTGACGAAGAGCATAATTGTAACCTGGAACAACGGTGAGAATGAGCAAAGAGTCGCTACACACCCTAGACATCAGTGAACACATGATTCCTTGATATTGTAGCCGTGTGAACTACAGAAGGATATAATTCTGCTCCTGCTAAATAAGATCATGTATACTGTGAAAATTTTGGTTTGTAGAGACATGGCCATCTATGCCTGCAAATTTAGAGCAATACGAGCAGTGTATGATAATGTTATGAGATTCACCTGTTGCAGCAGATTGAGGGTTGAAGCCTACTCGGGACAATTATTTTGAGCATTATCATTTTGCCTTGTCTATATGTTCCATTATGACCGCATTCAAGACATTCTCATGGGAAGTACATTTGGCACCGGTCAGCAAGCATATATTAACATTAAATTTGGTAACAAAATTGTGACATGCTACCATCACTACATGGAAGGGATGGCAGCACATTCCTTTCAAGCTTTTTGACAGCTTTCGTATCTTTTTGTTTATGCCTCGAATTAAGACCCCATCTAAGACCTTGTCCCAGAAAGTCCCTTTGGCACTGCTCAGCATATTTATAATCGCACTGGACTTCATCACAAAATTGTGACATGCTGCCATAGCAGCAAGCAAGATGCGGTAGGAAACTCATGTCAATCTTGTTGGTATTTCTGATTTCGCCTGACACATGTTTCACATTAAGACACTATTCAAGACCTTTCGATGCAAAGTACCCTTTGGGACCGGTCAGCAAATGTAAATCAGTATTAAATTTGGTAATAGATTTGTGACTTTTGAAGGGGATTGCCAAACTTATGAGTCTTCATATTTGTCTGTTTCGTCAGCTACATCGTGCTAATTAGAATACAGCCTTGGCCACATTTTCCGTAGTCGGTGCTCATTTGACCAAAGATCCTGTTGTATGCTAACTCTTCGCCTGTGTGACGTCTAATACTCTGAGATTACAGATCAACAGGCCAAAAATTACTCTAAAGCACTACAATACTCTTGTAGCACTGTCCTAATCTTCATCGCTTGTCAAGGGACTTTGGGTCCTCATGATGATGCTGTCGAATATGATTCAGAAAGACATCATGTAGTCATCTTCTTTGTCCGTGTCCTCACCAACCTCCCTCTCCTCATCATTCAGGTCATCTTCAACGCTTAAATCTTCGTCGTCATCGCACTCCAGCTCGTCGTCTTCTCTGCCACTATCATCTTCTTCGCCACTATCATCTTCTTTGCCTCCTTCGTCTCCGCGCATGCCATGACAACGTCGAATGTCACTATCCCACTCCCCATCACTGTCATGTTCGAATTCTTCTGATCCTGCACTATCCGTGGGCTCCACATTGGCACAATCTCTTGTCAGTTTGCGCAGGACAGGAGGATGCCCAATCCCATAGTGCGTATAATGCAGAAACATATCTCGGTCAGCAAATCTGGATAGTTGACCATCAGAATAAGGATGACAGGTGAAATGTTACACATACATGCCAACATAATAAGCCTCCCAGTCGTCTAATTCACCAGACTGACGTGCAAATGATATTCCGTGGCGAAGAGAGGTGGTCCCGCGATGACAAACAAAAGCGGGAATCAGATGCACACCTCGAATGACCTGGCCGGGATCAAGGAAGCCAAACGCGTCACGGTCCGAATCTTCAACAAACACGACCTTTGGAAGTCAAGCACAACTCATTCCTGATTGGTGGTCAGTCAAAAGCGCCATCCATCTAACATAAAGAACGTCAATTTGACGCTGTTTGACTTGACCTCCGATATCAAGCCGTATATCCATGTGGTAAATGCCCAGAATGCGGGCATACCAGTATGGATGTTTGGGACTTGTTTCTCCGGATAAGACCATGATGTTGGCGTGTGTCCGGGGATTTATTGTGTCATATTCTCGCTGAAGGTTGTAGGTCATATAATGAACCTGTTCAGTGTCATACACTAGCAAAAACGATAGTGTGCATAACACACCTGCATTGTTTGGACGTTGTAGAGTCTGTTGTTCAAGATGACAACTGAATTGCGCTCGGTGTCTGTGAAAGAGTGGTCGCAATAACCAACATGTAAGTTTTGAACATGATATAGAATGTGATCCTTGAGTTTGGGTATGAATGCCTGGATGTTGCATTTACTAAGGTGAACATCAGAAGAGTGCCACATACCGTTACAGCTGGATCATTTTCATGATCTCGAAGAAAACCAAACAAATCCAACGAATTGTTGCGGCTGAGTGTTGCTATGTAGTGGTGATCCTTCAGCTTTACAGGCAAGTCGACTAGTGGCTGTTCTGTAGCGTGCGATTCGTGTTCTGCGACTTGCTGAAGGAGTCGTTGTCGACACTCATGCTTAGCAAGTGAAGCTGGAGTGTCGAGTTTACTAGTTAATGAATAGAATGCTTTGAGCGCTCTATGCGCTAACTCTCCCTGGCCAGAAATCAAATTGAAATGTGAACATAAAGCAGAGATTCACGTATGATTTGCGATGTAAAGGAGTCTACGGTCCCAAAGAGCCGGATCGAGTGTACATAATCCCCCATGGCGTTGTAGAAACAACAATACAATGAGGAACAAAAGAAGCTCCTGACTGTATCTGTAAAAGTTGTAAGGTCGCGCGCTGCCTAGTCTGCGTTACTTGAGAAGCAAGTGCGTTCGACCCTATAGGGGAAGTGAGTGCAGCAAGGATCTAGAAGTGTGCGCTTAAGCGAAGCGCGAGAAAGCGCAGGTGCGCGCAAGGTACAAAGGCGCGGGAACGCGCGCGCGTATTAGCGCGAAGCGCGGGAAAGCGCGCGCGCGTATGCGGAAATGAGAAACTAAGCTTAAGTAGTGATATAAAGCAAG